CCCTATTCAGCAAGGAGACTCCCTTTGATTAGGACTCTTGTAATCTCCTATTTAAGGAGACCCCATTATTGAATGAGGATATCAAATTTCCAGTCAAGAAAGAGAGTAAAAGGAGAGTTCGGTGATCTCTTGGACAAATCACCCTCTAGGACGCCAAGATAGGTTCAGCTAGGAAAGGGAGGAACAAGGGAAAACAGGAGCTTTTCCCTGTGGACCGACCCGTGACACGATCCTATTCCCGGGCCCATAACAGAATACCCAAAACTAGTTGAGTGAGATCGGCAAGTACATTGTACATATTAGCTCAATTAATATTCAGAACTTGGTTGCCCTTTCTTCTATCATTTTCTCTTATCCATTCTATGTTACTTTAAATTTATTTCATTCATTTATTCTAATGGTGAGATCTGAACCCATCAACCATTGTTAAAATATTGTCTAGTATGATTTACATTAACATCTTATTCAACAAAATACAGAAAAAAAAAACAGTACTAAATCACATTTCTACCACCAGAAGTACATTGCAGATGTTCTAGAAAAGAAACTTTCCAAGTGATAGTGGTCCTCATCAAATACAAGTTGGAATCCAATAATCAGAATATCATTTCTAACATGTTTGTAGGACTTAGGACTTTATTTGCCTCCACACAAGTTCTTCTTGGAGAAAAACTTAACTATTAGATGCCTAGATGCAAACATATTCAGCTTCATATTTGTTACACTTCTCAACACGGTCCTTGGTATCTGTATTCCTAGGAAGAGTTTGATGTGGACTTTCAACTTTAAACTAAAATAAATCAGTATTAGATCAAACTAGATGCAATATGTTAACATGGTTGAGAATACAATAAACAGAGAGAGAGAGAGAGAGAGAGAGAATAACAACCATTCATCCAAAGGGAAATACCCAGTATGCCATGGAAGCTGGGGGTTTTTGATAGGTGTCAGATCACGAATTAATTCAAAGAAGATCAAACTCGAGTCAGAAGGTAAACATTTTGTCACTTGAAGAAGGATAGACATGTGAACCAACAATTTGCAGAACAAAAGGAACACTATGATGTGCAAAGTTCAAGGAAATCAGTACATGAATTTGGTTAAGGTTGATAAATAAAACAACTGGGAATACTAGGCACCCCATAGCAGTATATAAACACATAAATACCTACCAGGCATGCCCACCTGTCCATGAGGTCACCAAGCACACCTATTACAGAAGGTATGTATGTGTTTGAGAATCTCAAATGTTGGTTTCACAATTCCTTCAATCTTTCATTTGCTACATATTCATGGGCCAAAGCCATCTTGTGTCCAATCCAAGTGCTAGTACAATGAGCCAACTCAACATCTTGATTAGGATTTAAATTAACACTTTGAGTTATTGAGTTATCTTTGGTTGATTATTCAATATTAGAGCAGCCACTCAATGATTCTTTAATAGTACAAATTTCTGTTCATCCTTCAAGGAAACACAAGCAACATCTTGAGATCAGAAACTTCTCCTTTCTCCAACCAAGTTTCTTTATAAATGATGCTTTCTCATTGGAACAATTTTATACAATCATTTAATAATAAATATGGCCTCAAATAGAGTAGAACATAAAAAAGCAGGATTCAGGAAGCTGACCCCATATAGTTGGGTTAACACTTTGGTAAGCAATAAATGAATGAGTTGGAAAATAGTCGAGTGAAAATGGGATTAAAATTGAAACATTTAGACCTAATGTTCCTAATATAAAATGCATGTTAGGCCTATATTAAACAGTAAACACTACCCATCCTTTCAAAACCTGCTACATTTACTGAGATGCCTGAAACAGGTTTACTGCAGGTGCCCAACTCTCCAAAAGTTGAAGGTAACCCTGATTAAAAGAAAATTTTTCCTCAAATGTGAAATTATTTTCCCCTACATTCCTCCAAGCAGACTCTCAATAGTAGAGAAAAAAAGCTCTTCCATAAAAAAATGGCAACAAACATCTGTTTGTCCACATCTCCCATGTCACTAATTTGTTATTATCGAGTCATAAGATCTTCAAGATTAGACCATTCTCTTATAAATGTATTACTTTGTATGAAATAATTAGCATACCAAAGTCTGTAATGCCTCCATGCTCCATTTCTATGAAGAATTTGCTCACCATCTCTCCCTATTGCAATATTCAATCAACATGTCCTGTCAGCTCTTTCTACTCTTTCAGACCTGTCTTACAACCATTAGCAGCTGAAATCTCTTCCATCATTGTAAGAGCACTTCGAAATAACATTAGGAGCCTATCAACATCCCAAACTTACACCAAACACGAACAACTTGTCCTGTCAGCTCTTTCTACTCTTTCAGACCTGTCTTACAACCATTAGCAGCTGAAATCTCTTCCATCATTGTAAGAGCACTTCGAAATAACATTAGGAGCCTATCAACATCCCAAACTTACACCAAACACGAACAACTTCATTCTCTATTCTCCACCTACCAATAATCTCCACATGAACATAACCCATGTCTAAAATGATGGAAACGTTTGTTGTCCCTCACAACTATTTCCCTGTCCACCACCTTGGACACCAACTTCAATGCATTGTGGCAATCCCCACATATGCGAAGGTTCTTGCAAACTCTCAGTGTCACACCTTTAGTCGTCTTCAACAGACCAAAAGAAATAGCAAGCTTCTCACTATGTCCTCGCAGTATCTTTTCTTTCTCATGTTCATCCAACTCATGTAGCACCAAAGTTGTATCAGGTACATATCCAATTTTAATTATCTTCTCCTCTAGTGATTGCCACATTCTGCACATCTCTTCTGACTCGGGAAGCACATCATCACCTGCTACAAAGTTATAAACTTTCCCTTTAACTTCAATCCAACTACAGCCAGCCTCCTTTTGCAGGCCCATCTCATTCATCCATCCTCTCACCCTTCTTACAACATCCCACCTCCTTGATCCTGCAAAAAGATTTGAGGTTGCAACATAATTTTCTGCCTTGTCTGGTTCCAATTCTAACAGCTTCTCAGCAATTTTCTCCCCCAGACCAACATTGCCATGAATTCTACAAGCACTGAGCAATGCACTCCAAATTCCAGCATCTGGTTCTACTGGCATCTCCTCTATGAGTTTCATGGCATCATCCAAGCGTCCAGCCCTACCAAGCATATCCACCACACAAGCATAATGCTCTATCTGAGGTTCAATGCTGTGCTCCCCTTGCATCTCTAGAAAGTATTTTAGACCCTTTTCAACCAGCCCTGAATGGCTGCATGCCATCAAAATACCAACAAATGTGAAACCATCTGGCTTCAAGCCTTCTCTCTGCATACTTTCAAACAGCTCTATGGACTCTTGTCCATATCCATTAAGTCCATATCCTGTAATCATTACGGTCCATGACACCACGTCTTTCTCCTTTGATCTGTCAAAAACCATGCGAGCTTGCTTGATGCAACCACTCTTTGCATACATTTCTATGATTGAACTGCCAACAAATGGATCTTCAATGAAGTCATCTTTTAAAGCAAAGCAATGGGCCTCTTTTCCAAGCCGCAATGTTGACAACTGTGCACAAGCCCCAAACACACTCATTATTGCAATCTCAGAAGGTTGAATTCCATCCTGCACCATTTGGCGGAAGAGATCAAGGGTTTTGTCATGGTGTCCATTCTGTGAGTACCCAGCAATCATTGCATTCCATGACACCAGATTTCTTTCCCCCATACCATCAAACAATATCCGCGAAGATGATGGTTCTCCACATTGAATATAAAGAGAAATTAGTGAAATACCGATAAAGGAATCCATTTCCAAACTGTTGCGCAGCACAAAACCATGAATTGCTTTTCCATCCCTCAAAGATTTCAGGTGGGCACAAGCTAGAAGCAGACTACCAATACTGAACCAGTCAGGCTCTATGCCTGAATAAGTCATTTGCAGGAACAAATCTACCGCTTTTCTTGGGTCTCCATTCTGTGCATATCCACCAATGATTGCATTCCAAGAGCTTACCGTTTTGGTCTCCATGCCATAGAAGACATGGTCTGCAAATCTCAGCGACCCACATTTTGCATAAGCGGCAACAAGAGCATTAGCCACCAGATCATCACATTGAAACCCGTTTCTAAAAGCATAGCCATGGAGTTCCTTCAATCTACACAATTCTGACTGTTCTAAACAAACTGGCAATGCGTTCAAGATGGTTATTACACTGGGCCTTGTTGCACCATCCTCCTTTTGCATTTGGCGTAAAAGATCAAAAGTTCTGCATACATATCCTTCTCTTGAATAACCACCGATCATGGTATTCCAAGAAACCACGTTTCTGTGAATGGCCTTTTCAAATAGGACCTGGCCATCAATTACATAGCCACACTTCAAATACATGTCAATCATGGCATTGTTTACTGTTATTTCATGACTCAGACCTAATTTAACAGCTAACCCATGGACCACCCTCCCCATTTCAATGTCTCCTTCCCCCGTACAAACTGGCAATATTGTCACCAGCGTTGCGACATCAGGTGTGAAACCTTCCCCATCAATGAGCATCTCCCTGAATGCATCGAAACTCTCTTTCGGAAGCCCATTTTCAGAGAACCCACATATCATGGCATTCCAAGAAACCAAATTCCTATCGGGCATTCTCACAAACACTTTAACTGCCTCACCAATTGATCCACACTTGCCATACATAGCAATCAGAGCATTACCCACAAACACATCTGGACCCAGTTCCATCTTCATCGACATGCCATGAATTGCCTGTCCCAATTCCAAACACGAAAGCCCACCGCAAGCCTTAATAACGCATGGTAAGGTGAAATTATCAGGCCTAAGATCCGTGGTGGAAAGTAATTCACAGAACACAGACACCGCCTCATCCCAAAGCTCATTTCTTGTGTAGCCGCTAATAAGGGCATTCCACTGAAATAGGTTCCTCCTCTGAAGTCCATCGAAAACGAGGCGAGAATCTGAAGGAGATCCACACATGGAGTACATTGTGATGAGACGGGTATTAAGAACAAAGTCATTGCTGAATTGGATCGACGCCCAAACCAGCTCATGAACTTTTCGCCCCGTCTCAATATCCTTTCTTTGGCCACAAGCCTGTAAGAGAGCACTAATGGTGTCAGCTCGCTCTGCCATGCTGGTAAGCCCATTTTCTCTTTGCAGGTGAAGAAAAGCTTCGTTTAGGTCTCCGGACTCGCAGAGCTTGCTTACACTTTGAGATAAGGTAGGCTGATGGTCTGAAGTCTGGGTTAGAACCACAGAGTCTCTGTTCCGTGTTTCAGCTGAAAGAGAAAAAGATGCATTGACAGGAGGGATGAATGACAATGAAGAATTTGTATTATTTAATAATCGATTACAGGGTCTATGAAGAAGAAGAAGAGGTCCATGGTAGTGGTTGTGGCATGAAATCGATGGCGCTACCAAAGCCATGTTGTAGCGATTAACAGTTTCCACACTTTGTTCCAGAATCCAGACAGAGACAGTGTTGCATTACATTTTTTTTCATTATATCCTTTACCCAGTATTCACGATATTATTGTGATATATGTAATTTTCGCCAGAAGAAGATAAACTTGTACTTGTAATTCCATTTTATTCAACCTAAAATTTATATGTTTATGTATACTTAAAATTTATACTTTATCTCTAGTTAAACCTGAATGTAATGTTGTGTTTTTATCAAAAGTGTCATTGCTTCAAATTTCATATTCACTTCAGAGAGAAAATTTTCATATTGTTTCAGTGTTTTACATTCTTCTCCATCTCAATTATTTTTCCAAATGTATTAATCTCCAATTCCCTCTATAAACAGTATCCCTGTGAATTGGGAATCTTCCCCTCATACTGACCCAAGCTGTACGTACGATTGCATTATGAATTCTAAGGTGGAGTGGACGGTAAAAACCCCTTGCACATGTTGAAAAGCAAGAATGTTTTTTAAATCAAAAACAAAACGAAGGGAGACTACCACCCTTCGTAGAAGGAGATAGAAAATGGAGGTGGTAGCTCATTTTCTTACAGAATATGATTTGTGTTCTATTATTTAGTTCACATACATAACATTCTCATCTTATTTTTAATTCCATCCACTACTTGCTTGGAATCCGCAAGAAAGTTATTTCTCTAATTTTTCTGATGAGAGATGCACTAAATGGACCTGCTCGCTTGTGCTTCCCTGTGAATGAACTTACTTCATCAAGGCTTAGGCTTTGTGAACTGTTTTTCTTGATGTGGGTTTCCAAAGAAAACACACGTTTCTTAAAACAAATACACAAATTCTTAAATTTCTGATTTCAAAAACACTTTTTTCATCTGGTTATTTAATATCATACTTTATAAATCATAAAATTTATACACTACAGAATTTGTTTTTGTTTAAAAAATCATTATATTGATAGTTCCAAAAACATATTTTTTTTTTAATAAAAACCAACTTGTTTTCACCTATGAAAACAAAAATAGAGACCAAAAACATATATATATATTTGTTTTTGTTTTATTTCTTTACTAATATAATAATTTAAAAAACAAGTGAATAAAAACATTGATATTATAGAACACCCCAATGTGAATTGGTTTATTATCACATTCTGCAGATGGGGTTTGCGCCACCTGAAGATCGCATATTAATCAAAAGATGATTGCAATTCCTGCAAGGTATTCTTCTTTGATGGTTGGCTAACCACCGTGGGATGATATTTTTAGTCTAAATTGTGCTTGTATCCACACCACTCTTGAGACAGCACATTCTAGAGATGCCCAGAAAGAACATTTTGCTTTTCCTTGACTTTCGTAGTCACTATAAGTCGGATCGAATCTGATTGGAAAAGCTGGTCCATTAACTTAACAGATCTAATTTGGATATTGGTTGATCTGATCCGCCATGACCTGATCTGATTCATTAATTATGAAATATTATATTATATATTATATATGCATATTCTATATATTATTTATATTATATAATTTTAATTGAATCGGATATCTGATAATACATTCAAAATTGAATTCCAATCATACTCTTGAAAATCCAACGGATCTTTATTGGATTCAGATCAGTCAGATTTTCTTCATGGATCGGATTGGATATGCCCTTATCGAATCTGATCCGATCCGTAAGTTTACAGCTCTAAAAGTTAGGCTTAGGCAAGATACGAAGGATGATCATTAAATTTATACCCCCTGCCTCCAAATCACATTAAAAGTAGGGGTGCAAATGGATCATATCCATTATATAAAATATTAATAATTTATTAAATTTTACAAAAATTAAATCAGGTCGAATTAGATCTAAGTATCCATTATAGTCAAATTCACCTTTTGTGAAATCTGTTTGGATCTTTCAATTGGATTGGATTCAAGATTTATATCATCATATTAGATTTGGATATACCTTTATTCGAATCTTATCCAATCCATTTGCATCCCTATTTAAAAGGTTTTTTTTTTTGGAAGATGACTTTAAATGACATTTGGTGAATTAAAAGTTGAATTTGATACCATTGCTACTTCTACTTGTAAATTTTTTGGAAAAAACTTTAATTATTGGGGGCCAACAACATAGGCTGTTGAGACAGTTTCTAGAAATACCATGTTACCATGAGAATGGGTAAATTAGTAATTACATCTCAATTTATTTTGACTAAATACCGAAGCATGGGCATGAATAGATGAATTGCCCAAAATGTGCCCAGCCCAAAAACTGTCTCAACTCCCTATGCTGTTGGGCCCCAACAGCTAAAGTTCACCCAATTTTTTGTGTTGGTCAATATACAAATTTTTGAAAATTTGTCTTGTCCCATCACATTAAATAACCAATTTCACTAATATAAGCATTGAATTAGGTGTTAACATTTTTAGTAAAAACACTAAATTTGATGTTTTCTGAAGAAGCACCAATGGTACCCAATGCTGTATTGATAACTCAAAGCATTTGTGGTTAAAAATATATATATTCTCATAAAATTTGTATTTATCAACCTAAAACATTACAAGTAAAAATGGCAATGATACTAAATACAACCTAAATTGATGATCATCATGTGATATACACGAATGTGGTGAACCTGGCTTCGGAAGAGAGATCTGAAACGTGTATGACACCTTTAAAGACAATCTTCAGTTTATTTGATACCTTCGCTAAGTATGCTTGGACGGGGTTTGCAAAACTCTGATAAGCAGATTTAACCGTGTAGTTACCACTACCTGTCATTTCCTTCCATAGAAGGGTGTCCTTGAATCTAGGTGCAGGAATGATAAAATTGCCTCCACATTATGATCATTAAAGTAGTTGTTAAATACCCATTTATTTGCAAATGCAAATCTGAATCAGATACAACATACAAATTTTGCATCCAGTTCAATTTTGTATATATTTGTTTGTGATTACGATTTGTGCTCTTATTTGATGCAAAAATTTGTTCTTTTTGTGTCATTTGAATCTATTACAGTGCAAATTTTGCATCTAAAAAAGTGATGCAAAATTTGCACCACTTCCTCCTACCTTAATTTTCTTTCCTATAAAATGGGGACTACATCATTTTGCTTATTACCTCACTCATCCCAAATAAGTAACCTTATTGTGCTTCCATTCTTTTATTAAATTGAATATAGGCACCCTATACTTTGAGGGTAGTCTCATTTTAGGACCTGAACTTTTAAATGAAACAAGTGAGGTGAAATTTCCTCCTACCTTAATTTTCTTTCCTATAAAGTGGATCACATCATTTTGCTTCTTACCTCACTCTTCCCAAACTAATAACCTTTTTCCTCCTTTCATTCCCTTCTAAATAAGGGTAAATTACAAATATGTACCCTGTACTTTGGGAATAATCTCATTTTAGGGCCTGAATTTTTAAATGTACCACTTTAGTATTTGATCTTAAAAATACATTTAAATCCAAATCCATTAAACTAAAGTTTCAGTGATGGATAAAATTAAAAAAAAAAACATACTTTTTGACTATCTTTTTTTCACTTTTCATCTTTCTTCTATCTTTGAACTTCATACACAGACCAACAGCCGCAAAATAAGCTCACCTCGGTCTATTCATTGGATTTACTGCCACTAGTTTGCATCCAAAGTCTAAAGGGAGAAGAAAGATGAATAATGAAAAAAAAAGAGGCATAACATGAACATTGATGTAATTTTACCCTTCACTATATATATATTTTTGAAAGTGGTGAAAGTTCAGGCTCTAAGGTGAGACTGCCCCCACAGTACAGGTACATATCAGCAATTTATCCTATATATAAATTAGGGATTACATCATTTTACTTTTTACAAACAAATAAAACAAGGTCAAATTTGAAGCAATAATAAACTAAAATATACACTCAGCCCATTTGCACTCCCGTGCATTTACACATTTGCACTGCAAATAAACCAAACCTTAATGTTGTGTTTGGTTTGAAAGCCCCTGCCTTTTCTTTCAAACCAAATACAATGACGGTAATGGTGTATTCTATGTTTCATCTTGGTTCAGGAATTTGTCAGCTTTCTTCTCCATTACTCCATTCGTTAATCATGATTGATTCTTGGTTTGTTGTTTTCTGCCCATGCTATCCATGGGTCATTAAGGGAGTTCACATATTTAATCGAATTCCCCTTTTTCCCTATTTGAGTTCCTTTGATGTTAGTTATGAGGTTCAATACTACATTTGTGATGCATATCCGCCAAAATGGATCAGACTCAGATATGCCTAATTCAAATTTGATTCATTAATATTTTGATTTAGAATTTTGGATATCAATCAGATCTAGATTTTTTTTGATAAATAATAGAAATTTTTATTAAAATATATTTAGAGAAAAAGATACATCAATCAGATCTAGATTGACCAACTGATGGTGGTTCAATTGATAAGTTCTCTGGTGAAAGGGGATTTGTTCCTTACAGAGTGCACCCCATATCGACCTCACAGCCTTATCCTACCATGTATTTGAATCATCATCTCCCTATGAATAACAACACAAAGTGCGGGAAATGCTTCCAATGTGCAGCTGAAAGGTATTGTAAGATTGGTGTGAGGAACACTCTGTGAGTAATAGATTTGAACTCTTCTCATGGCTCCCCCATGAGATAATAAATAAATAAAAATAAAAAAGATTTATATTGGAATCGGATAAAATTGGATATTGAACATCATTAATAAATTAAAAGTTTACATGATCAAAATATTTATATAATATCGATGTGATCTAAAAATGACTGGTCATTAATGTTTGGTATGATGAATAAAATAACTTGAATTAAATGGTATTGTACCTAAAAACTTAAAATAACCAATCAAACGGTTTTTCAGTCAAATCCACAATGGGATTCTGATTGGTCAAACTCTTTTAGGCATGATTTTTTTATTATAGAAATTGCCAATTTTATCATATCATGAGAGAGAGAGATGCACAACAAACCAGTGTCCTTCCCAACATCATCCAAGCCATATTTTTTTTAGATAAAGAAAAAATTATTAGAAAGAGACATATGAGAAGGTTACAATGGGTGATAAGGCATCACCCCAAATAAAACAAAACACCCTAAGACCTAACCACCCCCAAATTTGCGAAACTTTAATCACAGACCAAACCCAAACAATACTCTCGAACCACCCAACCCAACTAATGCCCAATATCGTCCATGCCTAAACCCCTATCTTAGCCCCCTCTCATATTACCCGAACACGTATTAGGCAGACAGCCCAAAACTCCCCTACCAACTACCGAACAAAAAAGACAAATTCACTTCAGACCTTCGTCAGTTGGAACAAGAACTTTTCTTCAAAGCTGTTTTTGTCTTCCTAATCCTCTTGTTAATTCCAACTCTAAATAAGCCTCCCCTTAACCTTTCAAAAGCCTTTGAAACTGACACAACTCGGAAATTTTCTTGTTGTTTAAACCTTTTAACACCATTGTCATGTCCTTAGCACTCTCCCTCTCCTCCAACCTTTCATTAATTCTTTCAAGCTCTAAAACCGTGTTCCGCTCAAACACTTGCTCTGCTGTCGAAATCATGCTCATCTCACCTCCTTTGTAACCTTAGACCTCTCATCAGCAATTGCAAAGTCCTCACAATTCTTCCGAAGACCACCAGGGATTTATTCTACTTCCTTAAAGGCTTTTCTTGCTAATGCCTTGGCTGATTATCTTACTAAACAAGGGGCTCCTCGGGTCTCTTTGTATTGGGTTGATGGTATCCTCCATTTCCCCTCCTTGAAGGGGAGGTAGCATCTCGTGCCTCTCCCTAAAATGTACTCTCTTTGGCTATGAATTAAGAAATCTTACAATTCACTGATAAAAAAGGCTTTTCTTGCAAATTCCTCTCCTCTCAAGAAAAACAGGTCCAGCTTTTTACCCACCCCCACCTCTATGTTAATCATCCAAGCCTTATCCAAACTACCACAGGTCGGCTACATGAATCCTGTTTTGCCATTCTGTTCCATTTAAATGCCATATCCATTGCTAAATTATGGCAACTTAAATGGTTTCTTATTACTTCTACCTATTTCCTTTTTGGGCCCTTCTAGCCCCTTCAACATGTAAACCAATGTCCTTTTGAAGATGAAAAATAAAAAACCATTTGAGTAGAGTATATAAAGTTTGTTTGATCCCATAGCCTCATGTTTGTTGTGCAACATTTTTTTTTTTTGATCAACTGTTTGTTGTGCAACATCAACCACAACCAGTTAGAGCTATCCTTGTATACCTTTTTTTGTTACTCGTTGGGGAACTGTATCAGTTTGTACTGCAAATCTAGCAAGTAGGTGACATTATCAAGTGGTATCACTTCATGTTAAAATGTGCTCAGAGCTACATAAGGAAGAAACAAATGCATTCTATTGAAGATAGGTGGACACCAGCATAGCTTCCCGGGAGCAGCAATGATATTAAGGGGACTAATGAAAGATGGCACTTAGATATCTGAATGGTATACTAGCCTGGTGATTCACCAATAGATCAAACCAATCCTATTTCTTTTGTAGTAAAAACAATGTTAATTTTAATATGATAAATTCTGTAGAAAGCAAGAACATTTGCTTGCCCCTGCTGTGGAAGAGAGATAATTGGTCCACCCAAGGTTCAAAATTTTGATACATATCGGCCTGTATCGGCCGATACGTATTGTATCGTGGGCTTCTCGATACACCCCTACAGGGGGGTGTTTCAGGGTCTAACCCAGTTCAGGGGTAGACAGGCCTTAAACCGTCCCTTCTGAACCAGGTTGGAAAAAAAAAAAACTAAAAAAAAGGGACGCAAGCTTCGATACAGTCTGATACGATATTTTGAACCTTGGGTCCACCTCCTTCCCCCCTCTTTCTGTATACACCCTCTACAAAGGGATCTATACTTCCATTCTCAGTGAAGATACATACCATTTACTTGTCACAAAGAGAAAAGGAAAATTAAAAGAACCCTGCCCTTTGTAATGATAATGGAAGCTAGGATCCACAACTTTTTCTAGATCACCTTCATTAGTTCAACAGAATTTTAATGGAAGTAATGTATTAAATAGAAAAGAAAACAAAGAAACAGAGACCTTAATTCCAACCAAACTAAAAAAGTGCAAACTACAAAGTGCCTGGTCTATCAGAAGAATACATGACCTGACCTCAAAGAGGTGGCCTAAACCAAAAAAGCAAATATAAAAACAACCTTCTATATAAATAATGATGAGATGTCATATTTATGTCTAATTGTGAAATACAGAGCCCCAAAACTCATGTAAAAAATTAGAGAAAAGGACTGTCGAAACACATCAGGATTGTAAAGAAAGGCCATTGTCCAAGTCTGGTGTCTGCTAACCTCTAGAGTTGATTTTTTTATTCTTTTTTCTTTCTTTCTTTTCTCTCTCTCTCTCTCTTTTCTTTCTTCTTTTTTTTTTGCATTAAGTGGTTACTCTGAGAATTGAATCCATGAGACCACACTTGTCAGCACAAGATTTTACCATGCCACCAAAGTGTTTGAAACATTAAAAAACAGTAACGATATAAAAAATGAGAAAACTGAAAACTCTAAAACTAACTCGATTTATGTATTAATTTACCACAGAATGATTGATATAAACAAATCTGAAAGAGAGGAAGAGGAAATGATATGGTGCCTTTTTTTCTTCATTTTTTCAAATTATCATTGATAAGGGGTGCTCAACAAAAATTGAAAAGCCAAAAAACTGAACTGAAAAATCCGGCTAACCAATTTTTATAATTATCTATTATCTATAAATATATATGCATTCAGGATTTTACAGAAATCAAAGGACTGGTTCAGTTTAAAAAAACCACAGTTTGATTAACTGAACCATGAGCACCCCTACCATTGATGTCATCCACCTTCAAAGATAGCATCAATAGCTACAGCCAGCACAAACCACAGCATCTTAAGTAGCTGTCTGGTTATTAACTGTTAGAGAAAGTACTATAATTACCAATTTACCAAGAAGAAAAAGGCACATTTCTCTGTGAAACTTATGTCAACTACATCCATTTCTCAGTTTCTAGGGTTTCATTCAGGCAAGCACTGCATTTATAGATAAGCTACAAAACTATTTTCTAGCACAAAATGAACTATGATCTTTTCTTTTTCTTCTGTCTGTGCATGTGTGTGTTTCGGGTTTTCCCCTGATTGAGGGATTTAAACCACATATGAAGTTAACTAGTTGCTCAAATACTTCTTATAGTGTTTCTTTTAACAAGTTATAGGAGATATGAGTAATCAATTTATCCGTGTATATACTTTCCAAAAGACAAGGGTACCTGCTATCCCACTTCTCTAGACTCTTATCAATGGGTTCCATTGTATCAGTACATAAATTTCAAAATTCTATAGACAGTGATATGTCCATGCTTGTGCTCGATGTTAAATCTTGTTATCGCATTAATAGGAATTTATAATAAAGTACCAAAGGCTAAAACAAGACTTTTCACTTTTTTAGATGTATGAACTGGGAGTGTGAACTCATGATCACCTTATCTTAAAATAAGACAGATGAGTAAATGTATTTAGGTCCCATTGGGGAAGGTTATCCATCCAAGCACAGTTGCCATCTCTATCTTAAGGTAATATTGGGATGTTCATTGGGCTACTCAGACACTGAGGCAGAGAGAGATTTTCAAGTCATCATTGGGTGCTGGCAGAACTTGGGGATGAGTCCTTGGAAACATTGACATGAAATAAGAAAAAGCAAGATCTTGGGCTAGGAGTCTTCTGCTCACCTCATCCACCAGGTTAGTCATTTTTTGTATGGATTTGGACTAAGAATGATTTTGGGGTTTGTGCAGCAAAGGGACTGGCTCCTTTTTTACTGTTTTATCTGGGACAGATAAAAAGCCAACAGACTGTTATATATTCCCATCTATATCTATTATTTTCTTAATAAAATCCTGATCACTCACCAACAAAAGAACAAAAATGAATAAACCCACTAATAAATACACATAAAAATAATTAAAAAATTCCATTTAAAATGTTATCTCTAGGATAAGCTAGTTTTTTTTCCTTTTTTTGAAAAAAAAAACTAGGATAAGATAATTTTGATGTTAAATTGGAGTAGAAGTCATGGTCTGTTTGGGTTGAACACTCCTATTAATCTTTCTTTTCAAGAGTAAGCAAGGCAACAGGGTTTTGTAAAGTTTAAGCAAGTACGGTAGAATATTTTTTGCCCAAAACATGTTTTCAAGCACATACATCATGCTTATGCTATAAAACCATCTCTTTAATTTCATGAGTGATAAACTAAATTTTCAGATTCTGCCATCAAGTCCTAACTGCACCTAGTCTTGCCACCACCACTCCAACCTTAATTGATACAATCTTTATTATGTAATACTGCAGTTTCAAACATTCTCAAAACCGGAAAATCAATACTTCGCAAGATGTCAAGACCGGTAAATGATTAGGATTGCTCACGGGCATATATGTTGAAATTTCATTAATTTATCACAACACTGTTGCCAAAAGGCATTCCAAATAAATTCAAGGTAGAACTGGAATCAAGCAAAGATAGAATAAGGCGAACATGTTAAACCAAATTAGCAAACTTCTGCCACGATCTTGATATTTGTTGTCATTTAGCAATATCTGATTACATTTGGAAAGATTATCTAAGCTACACAAGAATGGCTTCAACGTGCACAAGACTAAATTGGTCGAGGTACAAACAAATTATATTTGAAGACAGTATAACTAACCAAAGGGAGGATCACATAGTGTTTTCACCATAAAGAATTATGAAAACACTGATGAGCTTTGCTCCAAAAATTGTAACTGACTATTGATAATTGGTGCTAAGTGCTAACAAGAACTCCCAAAAAGATGACTACCCAAAACAGAACAATGACTGCAACTCTGTTTGGTGTTACCTCATCACTGTCCCATGAAAGAAGGTATTTATCTAGAGGCCAAAATTGCACCCTTGCACAAACTCCATCTCATAGTCCACATATTTGCTCCAGAAGGGCCGGTACTGGTTCATTGCAATGTCTAGCCATGGCTTCATGTTCCCATTATAATGAATGACTGCAGCCCTTTTTATCTCATCAATGCTTATGCTCGGATTATAACCAAGCCCAAGAACATGCCATGATTTATCCAACGGCTTTGTTGTTGAGTAGAATGTGATTAGACCTGGTGGCAGGGTTCCCAATTTCCATAATGTACGGTTCTCATTCTACATGAAAATTCACCAAACATCATTAGTTTCCTATGATCACACTCAATTCGATATAAAAAATGAAGTAGAGAAGCAAAGGAAACCAATTGGAAGGAAAAGAGGGGGACGAGGATCCTCCTTACCAGGCTCTGCCAGTAATGATACTCCTCGGTACACTTCTCTCGCCTCCAAGCATCAAGGTCAAAGAAATTCATTCCATAGGCCCAAGCACAAGCCTTGGGATTAAACCTTTCTCTTATGAGAGGGTGCGAGAAGTTCATATACTGGGCATAACGATGGAAAGACCCAAAGCAGGTTTCAACAGCCCCATTCACCTTCCCATCCATATCAATCTTCCATAATCCCGTCAGGTCCTTTTGCACCACAACATCGTCATCCAAAAATAGGATCCTATGAAGATTTGGGTACATCTCCGGCAGGTAAAACCGAAGATGATTTAACATGGACAAATACTTGGGGTTCCTGAATTTCATATTGTTGGTATCCTTTGTTGCATTCTCTGCTCGATTCTCAAAGTAAAACCTTTGCAGGTTCGCGGACTCAAGCTGCTTGAGAACGGGAACGTAGGAAGAATTCAAGAATTTATAGTCCTCCACTGCTTTCACTTCAACATGGGCACCTCCTTCAACCGGCCGCATGGTAAACCAAACCTGCATTGCCGCAAGATTCATCTTATCCGTCACCACATGGAACACATGTTTCCAGGGCTCCTCTGCATTCTTCACAACAGAATTTACCACAACCGACGCGGCAATCACATTATCAGAGAAAATTGCATAGTGATAAAGGCTCGGGTCCTCGAATTCCGGTTTGGGGCCAACATCCTTGTACTTCTCGGGATGCGCGATTCGCTCCTCTACAAGCCGCATCGCAAGACAATGGAGGCTCTTGGGGATCGACTTGGCAGCGATTAGACTTGAGAAAGCTCCTTGCTTCTTGGCCTTCGTGAGTTGTTCATTGACAGCAAAGATTGTATCTTTAAGCTTCTGGATCTTAAGTTGATTATCGAACGAATCCTTCGCCTCACCGATCAACTGTCGAGCAATTTTAACTTTATCCTTCACCTCCTTCTCGAATTGCCTGAGGACGTTTTCTTCGATGGCTCCAACGGGTTCGAGTAAGGCGGCACGATAAGTTGGCCGAGTGAGGAGATCGGAGAAATTTCGCGCCAGATCCTCGAAAACACGGAGTTGCTTAGAGTTATCAAGCTTAAGCCTTCTAGCGTAGGCGGCGTACGCGTTGACAAGGGCGATGTGGTCATTGGCCTGCTTGCGGATCAAGTCGACTCGCGTCCTCAATGGATCCGATTTTAGAGCCAGAAATGTCCGGTGAACGTAGGCCTGTACCGGCGGTCCGGTACTGGGCAGAACCTGTGCCAATCCCAATAACAATTTAAGATAATTTTGTTTTAATGAAAAAAAAAGAACGACATAAATCACAAATCATGACAACTTACTGAATCGTGATGGTTAGTAGAAGGGTTAGTGGTGAAGAGAACAGAGAGAGTAACAAGGAAGAGAAGAGTAAACATGGCAGAAACGAAGATCCGGTAAGAGAAGAAGCTCCGAAGAGGTCCTCCGGCACCGACAGTCCCCCCTCCTCCGCCGGTGCTTAATCGACCACCGCGCAGTGGTCCCGCCATTTTTATCACTCTAAAATATGCTTCTTCACACTTTCTCTGTAACAGAGGATGAACTTGGGATCTGAAGTAAAGCAAGTAGAGTTGAGATCTAAAGGAGTTGGAATCAACGAGGAAACGAAAAGAGAATGGATCAGAATTGGTGGTTTCTTCTACGGAATCCCTCTCCGATGTTGGCTCCACTGTTTGGATCGGAAACGAAAGAGTCGATTTAGGGACTGACACTGGAACACATCGAGGCTGTTAACTGTTAAGTAGGGGGGAGTATCAGAAAATGCGCGTCAAATTGTAATTCGTTGATCCAGTTACTGTCAGTGACGGGGGGCCACACTCGAACAGTCTTAGATTTGCAATCGCCAAATGTTGGATGGTCATTGATCAATCCAAGCTTTATGGTAGTAAGATTCTAATCTGTATACCATAGGGTCTATGATTATTACGGTTGGATTGGAATGTTATGTCTCCAGATAAATGAAAATTCCAATCTAATGGTATTTTATGATGGAGGGGAAAGGTAAAACATATCGATGACACACGGAATTATAGCCTCTGATCTTGATCCTGTCGGTGGTGATATACCTTACGCGTTCCTTTTTTCACATATATAAAAGGGATGAATTTTAGTTGGATTATGATCACACATTAAGCCACGGTCGGGTGGGCTGGCGACAGGCAAGTAGGGAACGGAACGGCTGCATTGCCAAGTCCTGACTCCTGACTTCATTGAATATTGTGGATTTAATCATTTAATCAATTCGATTTCTTACACCCATTAGAATTCACCGTTGGATTGATGTAGATTGGATATGAGTGGAAACAGCGTCGTGAGGTTGATTATAATCTGACGTCAAAGGAGTCCTCTCCTTCATGTACTCACTCTGGGGCGTGTCCCATCTGATATTTATTGGACACCTCTGTATCACGGTAGTTGTGTCAATGGGGTCGGGTTCGATTTGGTTCATAATTTCATATGTTCCTATATGGGTGGACCCTATTATACGCATCACTTCCGGGTCTAATCAACCCGAATGTGATAGGGGTGGTTATTATTTAATTTTTATTATTTGCATCACAACCAATAAACCGAAGGCAAGTAACCCCGATAACACTAGTCATTGTCGGAACTTTAGGCTATGTTTTAATGTAGGGAAAGGAAGAGAAAGATAAAGAAACCAGATTTCCTTACCTTTCTTTACTTTTTTTTTCAAACCAAACATAACCTTAAGGCTTGGGCCTATAATATAAAATATTATAGCATGTGTCCTATAATATAAATATTATACATATTTTATAAAATTATTTAGTGACAGGCCCAAAGCTTCCCAGACCTGGGCTTACATTTCAGGCCTAAGGCCCACTATCTCACTCATCCCTTTTATTTAATGTTAATTTACAAATGTTTAAATAATTTTTTGCTATTTCCAGTCATGCCCTTCTTCTGCCCCTTCAACTTATAACCGATTACTTTTCCTTTAGGTATTATAACTTTATAAGTGATTTTCTTTATACATGATCGAATCATAAGTCTACTGACACTAAAATCTAAATATCATTAGAAAAAGTGGAATTTTTTATGGTTCTCATTATTCATGGACTTAAGCTAGGCAGTGTTATATGTTGGATTCATAATTGGGTCGAGGATTCAAACTCTTGTGGTTGAGGAGCTGAGACAGGTTCATCGGGTATATAACCAAGTACCCATTACCCATTAGACAGTGGATCTGGTTTTTGCTTACTAGCACTAAGATAACAGCATAAGTCCAAGGAGCAAGATTGGAGATCAGACCAGTTGGGTTATACTTGAGTAGTTTGAATCAGCCAACCCTGGGACCAAGGGGAGGGGTGACAGTTTAGCTTAATCAAATGTTTTGTACATTGAGGAACAAGTAAAGTGGATCTAGATTTTGACCCTTATGTTTAGAGCATGAAATAGATAGAGGTTGATCTAGAATTTGACCTGCTCCCAACCCAGAAATCAAACCCTAATGAATCCGTTTTTCTCATTCAGATGTGGATATGGATTTTTTTTTGGATCGGATCCATATGCAATTCCCTCTAGCTACCCTAGTTTGGTTGGCTAGATCAACTGAGATAAGCACATCATACATAAATGTCCAAGTTGATACCGTTAATAAATCAGCTATATTGTTGTGATTGAATTAGTATTTGATTGATTGTGATTAGTATATTTGGTTCAACATCAACTTGTCTAATCTGTCTAATTACCTTACATCATAATGGCCCCAAATATGCTAGCAAATAAATGTAGTCAGATGACAGTGACCAGCATTGATTAATTAAAACCTGTTTAATTTTGTTAATTAGAATATCTTAATCATTAATCAATCTTCTTCTTTCTTCCTCAATTGGGCAACGCGTTTCTTCTTCTCGGCTTGTCAGTTGGGTATTGCCTTGACAAACAATTCAATTGGGCAACGCGTTTCTTCTTCCTTTCAACGAAGATGACAAACAAATTTTATATCCTACTAGCTTTTCAGCCCCCCCCCCCCACCCCAAGAAAAAAAGAATGCTGGAAATTAACAATTAGTGGTGTACAACAGGTGGGCCCCCATCAAAGCTTTGGGCTAAGCTGAAGTCAAGGTGAAAGGACCCAATCTAGCCCAGCCCAACACAATTCTCTAACCACTGATGTACTCAGTTGTATATCATGTACTACAAAATTGAAAAATGGCTTCTCAGTTGGGTCAATTAGGTTTCTTCTCAACTTGGGTGAGTACTGAGTAGGTTTGGGTTAAGCCCACTTCATTCCAAACATTCTCTATTGGCATCTCTCTAATTTCCATCCCTTTCTTTTGAGTTATCTCTGTTCTTTGGTTCTGAAATGGAGCTTCTTCCCAAGCAAGTCTAAACTCTAAAAGAATAAACAATGGATGCAGCTACTAGGTCAATGTAAAAATATTGTAAGATGGCAGTCAAAGAACCTCGATAGCTTCTCCATGCAACATCATATCAGAAATCTTTAAATGTTCATCACTTATTATAATTCAGACATAACACTGTGATCGTGGTTTCTACACTTGGCTCAATGACAAATTATGAATGCATGAATGCACCATCTAAATTAATCCTTTTATATATATATATATATATATCCAATCAAACACCATTGAACCGGCATAAATCGTTGTTTGAACTTTGAACCTGAACATCTTTGATTCTATTGCATGGTGTTGGGATTCACAACTCTCCATTTCTCTAGGATAAATAGAAACAATGCTCAAAAAATGTCAACAAAGGGAGCAAGAATGATCTGGAAATCCATCGACAAGTAAAGTCAAACTCATGGTTCCACATTCTTGGTCCAATTTATCTACAAAGGAGAAAGGTTGACCCGGAGTTTTACATGATGACCCTGCTCGGCCATCCAAAATTGGTGGTTCATACCTGACTCGTGACCAAACCAACCCTATGGGGTTCCCATCCCGATGAAGAAAGGTAGACTTTTTAACAATCCATGAATCATAAATGGGGGGTGATACTGAATAATGATACAGGTCATTTGACCTTTTCTTTTAATATCCCGAAGCCAGTAATCCATAACTTCTCTCTCTCTCTCTGCTCGACTGAATCGCCACCGCCCATTTCTCTATAAAACATTCAAAGCGCTCGTCTCTCCGTCTCTGTGTAATGGTTTCTTTGTTTCTTTCATCAGTCCAGTCGTCATTCATTGCTTACTCGTAGTCCCCCTTCTCACTTTCCCTTCTCACATACATTCATCCACAGCTACCGGCCACGGGCCACCTCCCTGGTTTCTCTCAAAAGCCAAACTTTCCGGCAATGAAAACTACAGAGGTCCTCGTCGCCCTCCTTTTAACTCTTGTGCTGGCTTCTGTAGCTACTACCGCCAGACCACCCCTGACCTCTGCCAGCAAGACTACTACCACCTCGTCGGAGTCTGACCAACGAGCCCCTTCATCATCTATAACTCCTGTTACCTCATCACTAGTAAGCTCTCTCTCTCTCTCTCTCTATTGAACTGCGTTATCTTGCGTTTCTTATTTTCCTTCTATGTGAGCAGGAAACAAGCATCAAATATGCTGAATGCGTAAGTATGGAGGACAAAGAGTGTGAGAGGAGGATGTTGATGGAAGCTGATGATCATACGGACTATATCTACACCCAAGATATCAAGAGTCCTTGATGTATGCAGTTCATTTTCCTTAATTTTCTTCTTCTGCTGCTGCATTTGGCACTCCTTATTTTAAGGATTTACCTCCTTTTTGCAGTTAAAATGCCCCTCTGAACACTGAAATTTTAACAGCAAAAGCAAAAAAGAGATAAGTCCTTAAAATAAGAAATGCCAAATGCAGCCCTTCTTCTTCTTCTTCTTCTCTCTCTCTCTCTCTTTTATATTGTATCTCTTATGTTGATGTAATATATTTTGAAGACTTTGCCTCTAGCTAACACCACTATCCAAACCCTTGAAGAAATCTTTAATGCTTTCCCTCAACTTTCTGTTGAAGAATTCTTTATTTCTTTCCCTCAACTTTCTGTTGAAGAATTCTTTAATTCTTTCCCTCAACTTTCTGTTTCTCTTATGTTCTAACAAACCAAACACAGCCTTGGGGCTTATGTGCCAAATAGCCATAATTGGGTTGGGATCCAAGGAAATTTATGCCAATGCATGGTGCAGTTCAGTATGATCGTTTGTTCTTGCAGATTTTCTAAATCACCTTCATTTTCAGTGTATATATACACGAGCGACGATGGGTGATTTCAGAAAGCTTAACTGCACTTAACCTCTCCACCCGGATCTCTTCACAAACACTACGAGGTTGAATCCCAGAACAAAGTAAAAAACAGGGAAGTCGGGTTGATAAATAAGAAGGAAATTGAGGATGATAAAAAAGTTACAAAGTTTTGATTTTGTTTGAGATCAAAACCATCATATTTGGGTTGAAATTTTTTGTACCAAATCTTTTGAAATTTATCTGAAACTTTGGTGCATTTGACCATTTTCAGATGGAATAAGAAAAGAAATTATGTATATTCATATTATGTAGTTTCAAGGAGTTTTTCAAGGCTAAAAATAATATACAGAAACAAGAAATTTAAGTTATTCAAAGGTTTGACATAGTAGAAATATGGGTCCATACAGTCATCATTCGTGAGAAAATAAAGCATTGGATGCCAATACCACTCTTGATCGAATGATTAAGGTTGTTCCTTTTTCTATCAAAATGATCAAGCTCCTAAGGCTGAAAAAAAAAGCTGCAGCATTTGGATATAATTCAACTTTATACAGTAATTTGAACACCAAATGATTCTTTTGAGATGATGAAAGTAGTTCTGGTTGATCTACCATGCCCAGACTTCAAATTTCACTATCAGAAGCTAGCATGTGACTTAGCAAAATGACTCCCAAACAAATGACCACCACAAATAGCCTAAATCAATTTAGGTTCAAGTTCGGACTGAAGGAGACCGTAAAACATAGATCAATAGGAAAAGGAAATACTTCAACTCAGCTTTGACAACAGACCCATTCTTGAGACCGTAAAACATAGATCAATAGGAAAAGGAAATACTGCACTTTTTTCCCTGCACTTCCATTCAGTCTGTGACAGGTGTTCGGTAATGGGCCAGTACTGTCACAAGCTGAATGAAAAAGTGAAGGAAAAACTCAAGAAGTGCAGAAGATCCTGACTCCACATTGTAGCTTCCTAGGGATCTGGCTGGGCTACTTAAATTTTGTATGGAAGCCTGGAAGGAAATGAAACGTTGTCGAGACTCGAGAGGGCCAATATCCACAGGCCAATGCCCAGTTGTGTCATCCCAAGCCCATTCATTCATCAGTTGGGGCCCCTCACACCCATGACTCAACTGGTCTCCAGCACTTTTGGCATCCCAAATCCCAATGCATGGACACTTTTCATGATCCTTAAGATGCTTGCTTCAAAACATATTGCTCCCCATTTTCTGGGCCAACCTACCAAATGCCAGGCTGGTTTTGTGTGTTGGCATTGATGAACCATCCCCACTTGGTCCAACCTAAGTGCAATTTGTTCGTGTGAATAAACAAATGAGAAGAGTCTCTGCAACTTTTTGTTTAATTCTGTTCTGGGTTTTACTCTGTTTTACTTCAGGTTTTTTTTATTTCATCTGCACTGCAAACAATCAAAGTAAGGTGAAAAGTAAAACAAAAACATTTCCTTGTCTGTGCAATCTTTTGGTGAGGTTAATTTTTAACAAAGCTAGTCATTTAACATGAACCAGTATTACCGAGTTCTGGTTGATCATGGCTTCAAACCTGATTTGGCCAAAGGCTCAGAACTCAGAATCCCATGGAGCGAGCTAGCCAACCCATTCATGATCCATGGTTGCACATTGTTGATCTTCACGGTGTTTGGAAGCGCGGGCGTTTTTTGGGACTGATTTTTAAGAAAAAAGCGTTCATGCTTCTAAGACCCGTTTTTTCACAAAAAAGCACTTCTGCCATGTAGGCAGTAAGCAATATTATGTTATTTGGTAAGATGACGCTGACAGGTAAGCACCATATAGGATACATATTAGTCAATCGTTCGGGAAAACGGGTAACCGATGCATTTAGCATTTCATGACATTTCATGCATCAGTGAGGTCCCGATTTTCGAGACATGTTCGATTTTTTAATAATTGACTGAACCAAACAATGAGATACATGAGTGTTTTTTAAAACTTCTATATGGATCCGATGTAGCACCGTTTTTTTTTTAAAACGGCCACGGTTCCAAACATCCCCTTGCCGATTGGGCATTGCAATTTTGGGTCCAATACTGCAAAATGAGGAAACTAGTTCATGTGGGCCTAAGTTTAGTAATCTCCTTCCAGCAGCCTTCAAGAATAACGGGTTTAACGGCCAAAATTGTTTCCGCGTGTATAACCGTGGTCTGCCAATCCATCCATCTGTTTCCTAACTAATTTCTCTTGGGTTCTTCTCTTCTGAAGTCTGCAACACATTCATCAGATTCTCATCCTATATAAGGCGTTGAGGTGCAAGTGAAGAGAAACCCAGTTGGGATCTCCTTGTTTTCTTTTACCGGAAAACCATAGAAAGGCAAGAGAATACGATGGATCTTCCTTTACAGTGCTTGATGGATATAATTTTGGCAGGGATCTCTTTGATTATTGGTTTGGGAATCTTTGTATTCATTGCTTCAGTTCTCTGCTCTGCTGTTTTTCTACATAAAGCCAAGGATGTCTCTTAACTTGGAGCAGGTATTCTCTTCAGAAATTATTCATTTGGGTAGTCATTACTCGTGTAAGATTTATCAAGTCAAATTAGCTAGATTATGATTAAAATAAAGGCAAAGTGTTGTTTCTCTTCTTTGATAATGTGTGGGTTTTAATGGGTTCCCGTCGATTTTAGGTGTTTTCATGATTTTTCTCTTGTTTAATTGCACTTTCCTTATCTCGTTCCGTTCTCAGTGAGAATCTCTGACTTGGAGAGATTGTGGAATACTAGCTCTTCAAACTGATATGGACGTTGTTTTAGGAGATTCATCTGTTTTGATAAACTTTTCTTTTTTTGAACTCCATATTGACCAGTTTATTGTTTTTTGTCGCAATTTCAATTTTATGTGCGGAATTTCGTATCTTTGATGATGCTTCCTCTTTTTTATGAATATTGTCAATGGGCCCTGAGCTTCTAGTTTGTGGATGTGCATATTGCAAGAGAGAATGATGTAGAATTGGGAATAGGGTGAGGCAGTGAAGGAGGAAACTCAATTTTTTAAGAGTCGACTGAAACAGAAATTTTAATTTAACCAACGAGACTACGAGAGTACTTAATCTAACAAATAAAATGAAGAGAGGTTTAAGATAGTTGCAGGCTTGCTTGCAGCACCAAATATCTTGAAATACTGGAAAAAGGATTTTTGGTTAATAGGTAAAAAATGGGAACTCATTACACCATAAGCAGAAAAGCAGCAGTAGATCATTTTTGGTTTCTCTGCTGTACGTGGCTTTTGATGTTGAGTGTTTGCTTGCTTAAAAACTCAAAACCATTGAAAAGGAATTAAAGAGTTCATATCAGTTTTGAAATTATCTTTCATGCTTTTATTTCTGTATGGTAGTGATTACAACTTTGTGTAAAGGATTGAACCTAACCTTGGTTGGAACAAATTGGGTTTGATCCAGGATTATTTCTGGTGGAGTGGTCATCTGCTACCTTCAGTTAAGATCCCTGCTTTTAAACAAGGACGTTCTGGAATCTCGAATGAGACAATGGCAATTAACTAGAACAGTTTGGTCGAGATCATGGAGCATCGTGCCCCGTTTGCAAAATCAATATGGGATCGAAGCATCACCATGGACCAAATTACTAGGCATTAAGTTCAATAACCTGTGACAGTTTAGGTTGATGGTTGTCTGCAGGGGATGCAGTTGTTGTAAATCATTAATGCATATAGATGTATCACCGACTGGGTAATATTTTCCATGGGAGTTTCTAATTAAAGCAAATGATGTAATATACTAGCCTTTATGAGCAGTTGAACATTTGAACCGTGATTAACTGGGTGGGTTTTCCATCCTACAGTCATACCGTTGTTAGATTAATCCTTTGCAGAATCTAGTGGAAACTTGAAACTAGATGTTTATTCTTCTTTAAACAACCCGATTGGCAACTTGTTACCTTTGATAATACAGGGTTCCGTCTCTGTGTGTGTGTCTGAGAGAGAGAGAGAGAGAGAGAGATGCCGACTTGATATATAAATTTATCGAATCCACACTTTTCAGAAAGAATACATCTAAAAAAGCAACTGGCTCATTTCCTTTCTTTGGCCAGTATGTATACAGTATACAGAGTATTTTTCAAGGATTTGTATACAACATGCATAAATCATTTCTTTTCCCAATATATGTAAATAGATTAGGGATTTTTATACGGAACAAAAACTGAAATAGATAGAACCTGTTTCCTACTTATGTTGTCCTATGTATCTCAGAAGTGGGTAAACCCACCCTCAAATTGATTCATCTGATCATTCGATGCCACAAGGAAATCTCCATTTCTCCTTCAAATCCTTGAATTGCCATCAGCAAAGAAAAATAAAATGATTGAAAGGTCAGTTCGTGTCAAAGGGAGCTTAGATAGTCTTTCATCAGTGTGAAGATAGGGTTGGTGTTGGAAGTTCCCTCCAGTCTCTCGAACATGATTCCATCCATTCTTGCTTGAACTCCATCAGAAAAAGTCAAGTCTTGCAACAATTCTTTAACGGTCCTGTCCACACCAATTATGGAATTGCCAATGCCACTTAAGATCTCTGGCAAGGTAGGTGATGGTCTTGACAGCTCAACTAGTGAAACCTGGGACCCCATAAGAACATATTAGAGGGGGAGAAGAAAAGGCATTATGAAGACAGCATACAGATGGTGGCATAATAGTGCATACTGTGCACCCATTAACTTCAACGGAAAATTAATTTGAATGGCATTTATCCATGACAAATAATCAAAACCGACTAAAATAGTTATTTGACTTTTGATCAATGGTAAACATCATTTGTAGTCAAGGGTACGCGGTATATTTCAAAAGAAATGGGGGTCTTTCATACCGGCAATATTCTATCATTCCCTTCATCATTCTGATAAAAAAAACACATTAGTGATTTCGAAAGAGGATAAATAAAACATTAACCAAATATATTTGATTTCAGTAAGTGTCCTTGCTAGATTTTTGGGTACTACAACTCACCCTTGAGAGTTATGGTATGATAAAGAGAGATGGGTAGTAATAAAGGGAGATATGATGTTTTATGGCAGATATTCCAGTAGTAGTTATCACAATCATACTTGTTCAAAAACAGGGACAAAAAGCAGGTGAATGTCCGAATAAGGAAAATCTCAGCAACCTCCTGAATCCATAGATAGCTGCAAGGCTACAGTTCTTTTTTTTTCTTTTTTTTTTTTTTGTGGGGGGNGGGGGGGGAGGATGTATGTAAGGAAAGGATTTAGGAGAAGAAAGTGCTACAAAGTTCAAAGATTCTTACTCTTGAACAACAGCAGGAAGAAAAGATGAACGTCTACAAAAAGGAAAAAAAAGGATGTCTTAATTGCTCCAAGATAGTTTACTGAACAAGCATTCTCTCTATCAGGTCTTTACAAAGGAGATCAAGTTTCAAGAAGTTCCAGACAGGAATGGAAAGGAATCTTGGAATCACAAACAACCTTGCACAGAAACAGATAAATGGAGTGGAGATATCCTCACGAAAAGGACATTCTCTACCAAAGAGGCTGAACTGAAAACCATATCTTTAACATACTATGAGAGGGACATTGAGATTTGAGAGTAGCCCCAAATTCCCTTCCCTTGATGAGATGGCCTGAGTCTTCCCCCCCATGATATCCTTGACCTATCCTCTTGCTTGAACTTCAGTTTCTCTAGGATTTTAAGTAAAAATGCAACCCATGTTTTTGCAAAGAATAGAGTCAATTATGTATTCTGAAGACAATGCCCCCCAATTGCCTTTTGTTTTTCATCGCTCTCTTTCTACATCTCTCTCGACACCTTCCTTTTGCACTAATAAAAATTTTTTACTGCAGATTGGTTAAAAAATGTGTCAGCAACCAACCTGTCTATCTTGGGGTATGTTAGCCTTCTGTTTCGCAATAGCAACAGCTCGAGAGAGACCACCTATAGCATCAACCAAACCTCGGGAAGCTGCATCATTGCCAGTCCATACCCTCCCTTGAGCAACATTCTCCATCTGATCTACCTGGTTAACCAAAGATTGAGACTTTCACCAAATGATGGCTAAGAAAGGAAAAAAGAGGAATTTCAAGATAAAGATAGCTAACATACATCCATTGATCTTGAAAAGGCTGCTTTGTCTCGAAACTGTTTATATGCATTCTGTGCAGATTTGGCAAAAAGTTTTGCCTCATCTGGTCTGTGAGTAAAATTTTGCTTCCCAATCAATAGTTGGACCAAATAAGAAAATAAACAATGAAGAAAATAATGATCATACATGTCTAAAAAATTAAGTAAGGGTCTCTATCCTGTTTAGAACTGTTAATGTAGTCATGCAGAAAGAAATACTCAAATAGGATTCCAGTATTCATACATGATGCTGGCAAAAGAGTTTGAACATAGGAGCCATGCAATTTTGAATTGTCAAGTTTGCATGCCAATTTCTTTAAATACCTATTACTTATGCATCTCCGTGGCTAACAAAGCAATAGAAGCTACCTACCTGAAAGGGCGTTGTTCAGCTGCATTGAGCTCAGCATATTTTCCTCTTGAAATGATCTCCTTATTGAAGCCAATCTTCTCATACAGATTACCCAGATTAAATTTTCCTACAGTCAAGAAACATCAGAATATCAATATCTGCAGCGTATTGTAACAAAACAGGCCTCAAGTAGAATAAAGAAAACTTTGACCAAAATTTTACTGCAGCAGCAGATTTTGCATATTACTAGCAAGTACGGAGCTACTTATGGTTTTGTAACAGATTAGTTCATTTTAAGAGAAAATGGAAGAAAAATGAGAAAATTATACAATTGAAATGTTCAATATTCATCAGAAATAGTGAGTCAATAAATATATACAATTGAATGTTATCATCATCGTCATCATCATCTAAGCCTTGTCCCTTCTATATGGGGGTCAGTTACATGAATCCTGTTTAACCATTCCATTCTGTTCAGTGCCTTATCCATTGTTAAATTATGGGCACTAAAATCATTTCTTATTACTTCCACTCTAACCCCCTTTCAGTCTGCCCCTATCTCTTATAGCCCCTTCAACTTGTAATGGATCACTTTTTCTAACAGGTACTGTAGATGGTCTTTTATGCACGTGATCAAACCATCTCAATCTACTTTCTCTCATGTTATCACCAACTGGAGCTACTCCTAGGTTCCTTTTTATGACTAACCCTGGCCTTGTTTTTACATTCATCCATCTAACAATTAAAGGTAGTATATGGAATCAGAAATGAGTAGGAACAGTATTTCTACCAATGTATCTGTATATCTTCCTTTTGTGCATGGTAAATGTAGGAAAATGGTACAGATGTAATGAGAATTGTAGTAAAGTAATAAAAGCTATGAAAAGGATGATTTAATATTTTTTATCAATGAAACTTTGATTATAATAATATGTGAAAAAACATTACAAGTTTAATTTGATTACAAGGATGATTTAGTACGCTTTTCAGAAAGTGGTTTTGGATTTTTTAAATATCCACTATTACAACAAGAAAATGTAGCATCACAAAGAGGTGGAGGTTAGTAAAACACTAAGTTTATTTTTCCTGGGAGGAGAGGAATTTGCTAGAGAAGCTTTTAAGGAAGTGGAAGAATGGACCGGGTGAGTATTGGAAGAGAAGGCAGAAGTTCCAAATCCTGGTTGTGGGCATTTAATTGAAGAGGTGGAGAAAGATGTGGTTTTGACAGCGGAGCAAGTATTTGAGAAGAATGTGATTTTAGAGCTAGAAAGGATTAGCGGTAATTATGGGGAGAGGAGAAGATTTAAGAAAAATCCTTCAGCAGTTCAAAGATTAAAACACCAGAATAATGGCAGGAATGTGACAATGTCGAAGGTATTTGATAGATTGAGGGGAGGCCTATTTGGAATCGGAATTAAGAAAAGGGTAAAGAAGACAATATGGGCCTTGAAGAGGAAAAAAGAATGTATCCTTCAGCAGAGGAAGGTCTGAAATGATCAAGTCCTAATATTAGTCTCGGGAAAGGGTCTCTGTCGAGTGTAGAGTTTGTATTAATACTAGTATGGGCTCTGGATGATGGGAGAAAAGGATGTGGTAGGGGACTCGTTTTGCATATCTTTTGCTTTGGGGATTGGTGTTTCTGAGGGTTTTCTGGGTTCTGGTTTATGGGTTAGGGTCAATGATTGCTATTAGAGTTGGTGAGGTGTTCTATGGGTTTGGGTGATGTCTCATCACCCCTTGTAATCATTTCTCTCTTTTTCTCTAATTATTTTTTTCTTTATTTATCTTCAAAAATAATGTAGCATCACAATAGGAATTAAACTGTGCAAGGATGATTTAATATCAGGGTATTCTTTCAGGAGTAGCTCCCACAGGTGATAAAATGAGGGAAGTGGACTAAGATGGTTTATTACTACAGAGAGTACCGTCTACAGCACCAGTGAGAATAAGTGATTTCTTACGAGTTGAAAAGTCTAGAAGATATAGGGACATCTCTCCCCATGTTTGCATAATGTGCCTACAAGATGGGGAATCCATTGAGCACTCTCTCTAATTGCCATGTAGTCCGCAGTCTATGACAGCATTTCCAGGATTTGTTTAGTGCTGGCTCATAAGAATTTTACAGGTGTTAGTCATGATGATGTGGACAGGAACCTATTGGAAATCTTGCACTCAGCTCCTCTTGCTCCTCATATCAACTTCATCCTCTCCCCCAGAACCCCCAATACCTATATTCTGTCGTTTGATGGAAATTTAAGGACAGATTTTTAAAACCCTCCAGCAGCTGGTATTGGAAGTCATTTTGAATCCTAACAGCAGCCTGCAATGGGCTTTCAGTGGCCCTGTTAATGCTGCTGATGCTTCTGAAGCCAAGGTGAAAGCTCTTCTCAAGGGTCTTCAGCTAGCTAAGGTTCTCCAAAATCCAAATAGACTCCATTCTGGTTGAAGATGATTCCAGGACTGTCATTAGTTGGGTTACCTCAAAGACGAAGGAGCGTTGGAAGTTGGTCCATTGACATTTCAGCATCTATGGACAGTAGATCCCAAGAGTTCTCAATCAGATCACTGTTTCTTTAGCTAATTCCAGGTTGGGAAGGGAGTTTTTTTTAATGAAAGTGTTCCTTTATCTCAAAAAGGGCATGCATTTTAGTAAGAAATGATTTTAAGGGCCCATGAATTAGCATTGGATGTGGCACTGAATGATCAGAGAGGTAGAACAGGATTCATGTAGTGGACCCCACATAATTGGAACAAGTTTTAGTTGAGTTGAGTCCAGTTGTAATTTTTCAGGATGTGGTTCTGTATTTCCTAAAGATCTGACTATGGTACCATTAAGACGTGATACAAAGTACTGACTTCTGCTCTATATACAAAGTATTCCACTTTCACTTGGGCACCATCATGTGAGATCATCCACTAACTTGAATGTCCTATACAGATTCAGGAACTACACAAATCCTCTCTTTGTACTGAACTCCTTATTGATAAGATCAAAAGAGTGTTAAAGCGAATATTAGTTTTTCATCTAATATGGCATGAAGTAGTGGCTTCGGAGGTGGCCCTTGGAGAGGGAAAGGTTGTGGCATGAAGTAGTGAAGAGTATCCATGGCTGTTCTGAATCAGGTTGGGACGCGGGGGTATCCCGAAGGGCTTTGCTCACAACACCTTGGAAGGCTATTTATGGCATTCTCCCAAAGTTCCTCAGATTTGTAAGGTATGATGCTTGTTCTGGAAACTCCATTCTTTTTTGGGAAGATATTTGGGTGAGCACTCAACCCCTAAAAGACCGCTTTCCCTATTCCATCTCCCTCTTTAAAAGGAAACCAATTTCATGGTTTCTTCCCCCCCCCCCAGTTCGCCCTTTGGATTTAAACTGGAATTTTAGGTTTCGAAGATGGTTAAGAACTTCTTTGTGTTTCAAAGCTCTTGTTGCTTCTAGACTCAGTGTGCCTGGATCCCCCTAACCCGGATAAAAGGGTTTGGTGTCTAACCCCGGTTGGCTCCTTCACTTGTGCTTCTTTCTTTAAAGCCCTCTGCTCCAACCACTCCTCTCAGGTTTTCCCTGTTAAAGAGGTCTGGTCAAGGCCAGTTCCTCCTAAAATAGTAGTGTTCTATTGGGAAGCCTACTTGGGTAAGATCAATACGGTGGAAAACTTGCAAAAGAAGAAACCTTACTTGTTTGTCCTCAAATTGGTGCTTCTTGTGTAAAGTGAAGGGTGAGGACTGTAACCATTTACTGATATCGTGCTCTTTTGCTACCAATATTTGGAACTGGGTTGTTTCACTATTTGGGTGCAGGTGGAACTTGCCCTCCAAAGTAAAGCTGCTGTTCATTACGGCTGCCTTTGGGAGATTGACAAAAAGAGGGAAGCTAATGTAGAAATTTATCAGGGCCGCTACCTTGTGGACTTTATGGGAGGAGAGAAATGCTAAAATATTTCAAGAAAAGGAAAGAAGTCTTGCTGAAATCAAGGAATGCATAATGACAAGGACAGTCTCGTGGCTGAAATCTTCACACTTGTTGGCAGATCACTCCTTTGATGACTTAAGGAGAAACTGGGCAGCAGTGGCTTCTACAGTCTCCACAAAGWACAAAKYACAAGYTGAATGGGAATCCCCACCGGATGGAGTGGTAAAACTGAATTTTGATGGTAGCTGCCAAGGTAACCCAGGGGGCAGGGCCATCTGGAATAGGAGGGATTCTGAGAGACAAAGATAGCAACATGTCTTTATTTTCAGGACCAGTAGGTGTTGGTGATTCTGTAAGGGCAGAGATACTAGCAGCGGTACAAGGTATACGGATGGCCAGTCAACTTGGAGTGAATAATCTGATAGTAGAAGGGGATTCCAAGGTAGTAGTGGGCTGGTTGACAAGTCTAAAGACAGCTTGTTGGGGCTACAGGGATCTGTTAAAGAAAGTTAAATGGCAGACAAGGAATATGTCAGTCAGGTTTCAGTGGGTCAGCAGATCAGAAAATGCAATAGCTGATTCTTTGGCCAAGCAAGGGGTGTCAAGGGGAGATCTGTTTTGGGCCACTTTGTAACTGTGCTTCAGGCTTGTGTTTGTTTAGTGTTTATGACTCAGTCCTAGGGGGAGGTGACACTTCGTGCCTCTTCCTAGGCTGACTGTACTGCTATTTTTTGAATTAATAAAACTACTCTCGTTTATCAAAAAAAATATTAGTTTTTCATCTAGGTCAAAGTTTATAAAAGGGAAAACCTCACTGAAACCCACATCAGAAATTTTAACTCCACCGTACACCTACAACAATTCAAAACTTACAACACCCCCACCTAAACACCAATACCCC